CTCTCTTCCTCTCTTCCTCTCTTCCTCTCTTCCTCTCTTCCTCTCTTTCTTTCTTTCTTTCTTTCTTTCTTTCTTTCTTTCTTTCTTTCTTTCTTTCTTTCTAAGACCTTTATTCTTTTTCCCCAAGTCTACATATATTTTTAAACACAGTGTAAACCATTTAGAAGTTTTTTTTTTTTGGTCTGAATCTATATTTACTGTTTCTCTCTCTTTCTGACTACATGAGTCTTTAATTTGCTCAGCGATATGGATAGGATTAAAGCTATGGCTTTGATGGCTAGATCCATCCCATTCCTTACCTTTCTGAGAGTCTAGCTTCATGGCAGAGGTACTGGTGGGAGCCATGTTTATTGCCACAACTCTATGGAGTTTCAAGGTCCCTGACACTACCAAGAAGCATGCTGCCGGATATTCATGAACATAATTTAAGTGTTTGGTGTCAGGGCCTCTTAAAAAAGCTGCAAGGTTTTTGCCACTAAAGCTGAGTCAGGAAGCCTCTCTTAAATGAGATGCACTTGCCTCTAGAAAACAGAGTCCACCCAAGAAACAACTGCTACCAAGAAGCCATACTTAACTCTGTTCTTTTGTGTCTGGTATTACTTCCCAAGCTCTTTCAGGTTTTAAGTGGATGTAGTTGTCGACTTTGGCACCATTTTTTGGCCAATGTTTCTGTCCTGCTTTGTCCCAGTTATTCAGTCTCAAAGAAACACACAGAAGTCTACATTAATTATAAACTAGCTGGACTAGTAGCTCAGGCTTTCTTATTAACTAACTATTTTTTGGTCCCTTCTGAGAGACAGGGTTCTTTTAAAAGTGATTTATTTAACTTTATTTTATGTGTATTGGTGTGAAGGTGTCAGATCTCGTGGAACTGCATTTTCAGACAGTTGTGAGCTGCCATGTGGGTGCTGGGAATTGAACCCGGATCCTCTGGAAGAGCAGTCAGTGTTCTTAACTGCTGAACCATCTCTCCAGCCCTTATTAACTAACTCTTATGTCTTAAATTAACCCATGATTCTTGTCTGTGTTAGCCACATGGCTTGTACCTTTTATCAGTGAGGCATTCTCATCTTGCATCCTCTGTATCTGGGTGGCGACTGTAGACTAAGCCTTTCCTCTTCCCAGAATTCTCCTATTCTGGTTGCCCTGTCTATACTTCCTGCCTGGCTACTGGCCAATCAGTGTTTTATTAAACCTATACAAGTGTCAAATCTTTACAAGGTACGAGATCATTGTCCCACACTATCCAATGCTTCTGTTTGTTATTTTCACTCATGTCTTCATTATCTTTACTTATTTTTTTCTCATGACCTTACCCTGGTAAATGGTATTTTTGTCAAAGCAGATCTCTGACAGTTTTTAAAGGGGGAAAATTATAAAGATCAATGAGTGTGATGCAATAGTCTGTGATGAATCATGTCATCACACTGATTGTGACAGTCCATGGTAGACCAGTGGGTCCCTAGTGTGTAGGATCCAGGAGTTCAGGTATGCATGCTAGTCAAGCCAATTCTGATCATATGTGACAGCAAAGGCTTTGCCTTCCCATGCTGAGCAGCTCACGGGGGCTTATGATTCAGCTGGTTGTGACATCACATACCTCAGGTCCTTTCATTCCTACCACAGACCTGGGAGGTAGACATTGTCATGATCCAGATCTTACAGACTGGAATCTAAGTCTGGAGGCTTAGAATATTAGAAATGATGTAACCTGTTCAACTTCCAAATAACTGATGGAGATGGAGTTTGGGCCTTAGCTCTTTTAAGTGTAAATATTCTCTGGGAACATCAAGTTTCTGCATTTCCTTAATATTCAAGAGATGGGACAAGAGGATTTGGATTCTCAAAGCTGGAGAAACTTGTCCCATTTATTTGTTCCTTACATTAAACACTAACAGAATGGAGACCATAGCGTCTCATCATTTGAATGAAAATGAAAACAGCAGACTTGTTTTAGTGTCCCAAAGCTAAAGGAGGGTGACTTTGCATATTTGACACCATTGTTGAGATGAGACTTCCTTCATGATTCCTATTCCAATCTGCACAATGTTTTCTGTGACACCCTGGATGCATTCTTGAGAGGTGAATTGTCTCATGGTGAGTATCTGCCAGTCAGGTCTTCTAGCACAGACTCTAAGCAGTTGTATTAGACACTTGCTGTCTGCAGCTGTCTCTGGGAATGGCAGCTACACAACAACAACAAAAGATTGTTCTCATTTTAAATAACCACATAGAATTTCCATGCAAGTGAATTTATTTTATCCCTGAACATTCTGGATGTACAGAATTAATGTGAAGGATCAGAAGAGAATACAACTGTATCTACCAGCCTCTACTTTGGTATTGAAGGAAGCATTTTTAGTTTTTCCTGTACATTTTTGACACCTTGCATTTCATATAAGCTGTTATTTTGTTGTATTTCACATTATTTTGTCAGAAGCTTATCTTCAATTGTTATTTAAAGAAATCTATTCAGGCTTCAGGTATTATCTTTATGCAGTGGCATTGCCCATTGAGCACACAGCCCTGTGGATTTTGACATACGTGTAATCGTGATAGTGGTGAAAACCTTCCTTATTCCCTTCATCCCCTTGAGCTTTTCATTGTCAGCCTGCCTCATCCCCAGCCCCGGACAACACCCTCCAGCTACTGGTTTCAGGTCAGAAAGCACAAAATTTCAGTTCTTTAAAATCTGTTGATGATTTTCTTTTATGTCCTCAAATGTGATCAGCTAGGTCATGCACTTGATAGGAAGGTGAACTCTGTTGCTGCTAATGTGTCAGGAGGTCAGGCTCCTTGGCAGCGTGATCTGGGTCCTCTGTGTCCTCCAGATTGTCTGTGCACTTATCTTACTGATCATCGAGGGAGGAGATGTGGATTCTCCAACTGATAATGTGACTTTTTCATATTTCCGTATTCAGGGCCATCAGTGTTTTGATGACTTCTGTAACTGTTGGGTCCAGTTACAAAGATGAGAACTCCACCAAGTCTAATAAACCAGAAGCAAACTTTATTCCAAAAACCAGACCCTAGGAAAACCAGAAACAAACTTAAAAATAAAAAGTAAAAATAAAAAAAAACTACTGTGGGGCACAGAAGCTTATCAGCTAGCTGAGACCACAGCCAGAGATGGTGTTTGTTAGGCTGTGGCAAAAGGCCGGTTTCCGAACCCACTTTTTATAGTAGGGGCACCAAGCATTAGCTCTGAACAAAGGAATTTTTACAATCTTGTCCTGACCCGTGGGTCAGTCAACATAGACCTGGAGGGGAATGAGTTCTAATGTCAATGGGTCAGCTATCATGAATTACATTTTAGAGTAGATTATAGAGAGTCACTAATTGCAAGAAAACAGGCGTCTTTAGCAATTAGTCAGAAAAGGGACTGCTAGTAATACTAGAAGGTTAATAAATCAGAATAATTGGTTTTTAGGTTGAGAACTTAGAAGATAGCAGAAAGTTCTTTGCACTATCTTTAGGTAAAACTCAGATACTGACTGCCATACTTTACAACCTCCATTATCAGAGCTCATTAATTAAACCATTGTATTTGTCCACTGTCTCCTGGTGCCTCCAGGTGTATACTGGAGTTCCATGCCTCCCCTTTGGTGGCACCAGTTTTCCATAACAGAGACAGTGTCTAACTCAGAGGTCACGTATCTCTGTCTCCTAAAGGTGTTGTATGAGGTGCAGGCTGCTTTTCGTCCCACCCAGCTCCCGGTCGCCCTGCTAGCTTATACCCCGAAATAACAACACACAAATTGTATTCATTTAAACATTGCCTGGCCCATTAGTTCCAACCTCTTATTGGCTAACTCTTACATATTTGTTTAACCCATCTCCATTAATGTGTATCGCCACTTGACTGTGGCTTACCGGCATGAGTCTAACCAGCATCCATCTCAGAGAGGAGAGCCATGGCATCTGCCACACTGCCTTCTTCCTCCCAGAAATCTGCTTTGTCTACCACACCCATCTAAGGGCTGCCCTATCTAAAGGCCAAGGCAGTTTTCTTTATTCAACCAATGAAAGCAACACATAGAAAGAAGACCTTCCTATACCATAAAGGTTAACTCAGTTCATATCTGTCTTTTATCAGGGATGGCCAGGATTGTTGGGACTAATGAGCTCTGACCTTCAGCTGCTCTTCCCTCCTAGAACCTTCTAATTAAAGTTACTAAAAACTGTGCCTAGTTTAGAGGATCAGAAGATGGGATTATCACCTGTTGGCCATTGACTGCAATGTATTTAAGCCTACATGGTGTTAATAAAGGGGGCTTTCTGAACCAGAGTTGGGAGGTCCGTGTGTCGGTCTGTCTCTGCGTCTGTTGGTTTGTCTCTGCATGTGTATTCTCAACCTCCAGCCCCTTGCCTGAAGCTCGCAAACTGGATTCTAGGGCACAGAGCGCAGACACGGAGGCGTGGTGCGTGGCACAGGACACTACTCTCAATTTTCAGGGAGAAGCTCTGGCCTTGTAAATATAATAACCAGTTGTAAAATGGAATGACCTGAGCTGATGGAAGCTTCCCAGGCATCCGAGAAAATAGCTCACTGTGAATGATTGATCCTTGATCTGCTGAGAAAGCTGCTGATAGTCTATCTTATGTCTCCTAGACTTATAACCTTATATTTTTCTATGTTCTTATTTTTGGACTCTACATTTTTATTTTCTTATTCTTGGACTCTTCTAGGGTACTTATGTCTTCTTGGTGAACTAGCCATTTTATCCTTCAGTTGCACCCTCCTTTATGGCTGGAAACATTTTTTATTGTAAAATCTAATAATGTGTTGTAATCTGTCATTTCATCTTTGCTTTAATTCAATTATTAATGGCATTTTTCCCATTTGTTTTCTTATTTATTGTGCGGGTGTGGGTGTGTGTGCAGGTGCGCACATGTGTCATGCATGATGCATGTGACAGTCGGAGGACACCTTTACATGGGCTTTGGGAATTGGACTCAGATCATTAGGTAAGCTCTTACCCACTATGCAATCTTGCTGCCATTTGTTTTATTTTATCTTAGATCTTCCTGTTTAAAGTGGTTCTCTTATAGACAACACATAGTTGAGTATTGCCTTTAATGAAAGATAAAGTCTGATATTTTTTATTTGCTTTTTTTATGGTAAAGTTTAGAGCATCTGAAGTTAACATATTTACTATTGAGATTACTACCTACCTTCTTTCTAATCCTTTCTGTTATTGCAAATGGTTTCTTTTCCTCTTCTTCAATCTTCAGTCTATGTTTAGATTATTTTCTTTGAATCTGTATTATTTTCACAGCTGACTTAACTTGTCTGAGTGATTGTCTTATGCTTTCAGTATGCGTTTTTTGATTTTTTTTTTATAGTCTATCTGAAATGTCAAAGATAACCTCCAAGACAGCGCTAAAGGCTCGTAACCATGTTTTTCCAATTTCTCCTTTATACTTTTGCTGGAGACGGCAAAGCATAGCCCCCCTCCATGTGTGGTTCCTGAGATGCAGGAAGCGATTTCCTACAGGCAACCCAGTGGCAGCTAAATGAGCATGTTATTTGAGGGCCAAGAAGAAAACACCTACAGGCCCCGAGGACTGCTTCTATGGCGTTTGCATACGCATTTGGTAATGCCACAGATGATTCTGGTTATAGCAATTCCACTAGTGTACTCGTTCCTCATGTTCTTTTTCTCTTTCCACACCAGTGGCTTCTGAAAATATGGATGTGCTGTATGGTAATATAAGTCCTCCTGATCTGATAGAGTGGGCAGGCATTGAAGCTGTAAAGCAGGTTATGGGGAAAAACCTGATTGATGAAAGAATTGGGGAAATATTGGGAAAACGCAGAAATTGTTCTTTGCTTGATTATAAAACTTGACAAAAGAATTATACTGAAACAGAAAAGAACTTGGCTGTGATGAATAAAGTTTCTGAAGAACCTAGGGCTTTAGGCCTGACTGCCTATGGCTTTATAAATCAATATTGTGAGGAACAACAATGGGAAAGGTAAGACAATGGAGTAAAACCCACTGAACTATGCTTCTGTAAACTGCAAGTAGTTAGCCTCTGAGGTGAAAGCCTCAGAAGTTGTTTTATGATTAACTCATCTAAGAATTAAAAATATAGTGGCTGGCATGGGGCTTGGGATCTGGGGAAAGGTGATGATGAATGATGTTCTGATTTCAAAGAATCTTTGTACTTCTTGTGAACTGCTTTGCCCAGGTAATGATTAACCTGTGGCAAGTAAAAAGAATCATTTTCCTTGTGTAAAATTTGCAATAAGAGACTGAGGCTTGAAGTGCAGGGAAGAAAAAGAAGAAAGAAGAGGAGGAAGAAGAACTTGCCCTGCAGCTGAGAGCCTGTCAGCTTGCATCAGAATCCTGTGTTCGAGTACTCATTTCCCCTTCCAGACATCCCAGATTCGAGACCCATTTCTCCGCTGAGGCTGGACCCTGGCATACTCTTCCGTTCGTCTACCATACACTAAACTTGTTACAAGCTCCATAATACATTGCTTATATTTTTATATCATAGCCAATTATCTTTTATGAAACTAAAGTATGAGAAATTATATACATATATATGTATATATATATATATTCCTTTATTGAAGAATTTCCTCAATTATTCAACATTTTTGTCTGAAAAAAATTATTTGGTCTTCAACTCCAAACACATGTTTGATGCTATGGAATTCTTAATCTCTTGTCATTGTTACTTTCAATGTCCTCTTTGTTGTGGAGCTTCTGGTGTCTGTCATAGTTCTCTCTCTCTCTCTCTCTCTCTCTGTCATGTGTGCCTTTTCCATCTGAAGTCAAGATTTTTATTTTTTTTAACAGTTTGATCTGATATGTCTAGAGGTGTGTGTGTGTGTGTGTGTGTGTGTACGCGCTTTTGTAAACTGACATTTTTATTTTTGATTGTGGTTACTTGTTTTTCCCCCCACAATTTCAGAGAATTCTCCATGTTTCTACTTCTCCTATGTCTTCTGCTTTGCACTTTAAACACACATGTGTTAGGCAGACTTATCAAAGCCAGAGGTTGATATTTGGTGTCTTCGTTAATTGTTCTTTACTTGATCTTTTAAGACAGGGCCTCTAAGTGTACCTTTTGGCTGGACCAGTGGCCAGCTAACTTCAGGGACCCTGCAGTCTCTGTCTGCCCAGAACTTGGATTACAGGGCACATTGTGCTCCCTGCCTTTTTCAGACAACTATTTTTATGTGCAGGCGTGTGATTTTGGTACATGCATCGATGTGTGTTCCCATGTGTGTTGGTGCACATGTATGTGTGCTTCTGCATGGATGTGTGCTCTTGCATGTGGAGATGTGAGGTCAATGTTGGGAATCTTCCTTAGTCTCTCTTCACCTTATTCTTTGAAGCCGGGTTTCAATCAAGCCCAGAGCTTGGTGATGAGGCTAGTGTGTTGACTTGGTCCTAAATGTCACAAACATCCCACTCGTCAGATGCTCTGCCTGTGATCAGTTAAAACAGTCAATCCCTTTCACTGTAGTGGTTTTTCTGTCACGATCCCCTGCACTGGATGGCCTTTGGTTAGCTGGAGCCACTGTTTGAGATCTAAGGAAAATAATGCCAAGAGGCTGTCTGCTTGGTTCCGGGTGGGAGTGGAAAGCAGCCGACCCTTCTACATGGATTTACATTTAATCAGGTTTTCCACAAGAGGAGTCTTTTAAGAATATTCCTGTTGTCCACTGCCCACGTCCACGCAGCCTTGTCAGAAGAGCAAGAGACTGCATTTGCTCCAGCATCTGAGTACTTAGGGGAAGAGAGGCTGAATACGGTTTGAAATCAGCCTGTAGAAAGTTTATTCAATTATGAGAGCTTCTCAACTTTGCCTTCTCAGAATGAAAATTTCTCTCCTGCTGGGAGGATACCTTAGACTCTCAAAAAGTTTTTAATGAGCATTGTGCGAAGTGGAATTTGTTGTGCCGACCCTAAGATAATAGAAAAACTGGCTTTAGCCTTGATTCCTATGGATGTTTCTCTGCTCAGCTGCTGCACCGAGAAGGCCAGGGGAGACAGGCAGCTCTGTAGTGGTCAGACTTCAAATCTCACGTTTCCTCCATTTAGTTTTCTAGGTTAGATCATCTTGTGCTCCCTATTCCCTGCATGTTTTTGCGGCAGTGTAACATGAGGGCCGGCTTTTTGGGATTTCCGTCCCGCCCGGTACCCCAACAGCCGGCAAATCCCAAAGAGAAATTACACACAGGACTCCATAAGGTTATAAACTGATTGGCTCATTAGGTCAGGCTTCTTGTTAACTCTTATAACTTATATTAACCCATTATTCTCATCTATGTTAACCATAATGGCTCAGTACCTTTTCCAGCAGGGGCAGCTTACATGTTGCTTCTTCAGTGATCTGCGCAGGAGTGCCGAGGGAGCTCTGCTTCCAGAATACTCCCAGTCTCTTTGCTCCACCCCTACTTCCTGTCTGGCTTTCCCGCCTATACTGCCTGCCTGGCCAATCAGCGTTTTATTAAATGATTGACAGAATACAGATAATTCTCCCGCACCACGGCAGCAGCTCCTAGATTTGCTTATAGGCTTACACATTTACCATGCCTTACTTTCCCATTTGGCATTGACTCTATTCCCATGTGCATTAGTGCCTCGTTGTTATCCGACTTAATGTACATGCCTGCTTCATTATCCCCCTCCCTCTGAATCTCAATGCAAGTGTTTTAGACTTGGTTTGTCCTCCCAGTGTGCAGCGCAGTGCAGCAAATGTAAGGAGGATTCTGGCCAGGATGCCTGGGTTCAAAGTCCCCCCACCCCTCTCACATGGACTTTTGAAGACCATTCAAGATACAAACTATGGCATCCATTGTGAGCAATTCTCAGGTTATCAGTGAGTCTCGTGATACTCTTATTGATGTTTTGTCTCGGATAAAATCGTGGTTTTGGCTGGTTGATCCTGAGGCAATTTGCTTCTGTTTAGTAATAACAGTAACACACCCACTGAGCAGACAATACTAACTACTTTGAGTATATTGATATTTCCATTGTCCCAGTTGATGTGGGATTTCCCTCTGTATTTTGTGATTATCATTGATTAATTAAAAAAAACTGCTTGGGACCTATAGCAGGGCAGAACTTAGTCAGGTGTGGAAAGCTAGGCTAAATGTTGGGAGAAAGAAGGTGGAGTTAGAGAAAAGCCATGGACCCCTACAGGAGCCAGACAAAACTTTAGCCGGTAAGCCACAGCCACTTGGCAATACACAGATTAATAGAAATGGATTAAATTAATATGTAAGAGTTAGCCAATAAGAAACTAGAACTAATGGACCAAGCAGTGATTTAATTAATGCATTTCTTTGTGATTATTCTGGGTCTGAGATGCCGAGTAGCTGGGAACCAATAAGCAGACCTCCCTCCAACACCCAACAAAGGAGGGAGGTGACTTGTGTTGAGATTCCAATTCTGCAGTCTGCTACCAAGTTGTCTTAGTTAGAGTTTCTATTGCTGTGAAGAGACACCATGACTACGGCAGCTTTTATAAAGGAAAACATTTAATTGGGGCTGGCTTACAGTTTAGAGGTTTAGTCCATTGTCATCATGGCGGGAAGCATGGCAGCACGCAGGCAGACACGTTGCTGGAGAAGGAGCTGAGAGTTCTACATCTGGATTGGCAGGCAACAGAAAACAAATGAGACACTCTTCCTCCAACAAGGCCACACCTACTAATAGTGCTATTCCCTGTGAAGCTAGAGGGGGCATTTTCTTTCAAACAACTGCACAAGGATACTTTGGGCAATTCATCTGAACCTCAGTGATGCCGTTTGTAAAATGGGAACACTATCGTCTTTATAGAGTGCTGGAGATTCGTACCAACAGGACAGTGTTCGGTATCAGCAAGCTAATTGCTAAGGGAATGTTGATTCCCTAACCACACAGGCCTGGGGTTGAGAACAGGCACCAGAGAGGGACTGTTTCTAAGTCACACTTGTAATGACCTGAGCAGAATGGACAAACATGTGCCAAGCCAGTATGCACAGAGGAAGGGAGGTGGCTGCAGGCACCTTTTTAAATTTCCACCTGACAGTTATGTTCTATTCTGGTCTGGAAAGAGCTTCTAACTTATTTCAGAGGATAACTCTTTTGAATCTAGCTTTACAGTTTCCAAAACGCAAATGGAAACCAAAAGAGTGCTCACTCAAATCCAAGGGCAGAGATTTCTAAATGCCTGCGGCACAGGGACTTAGCTAAATTACTTTCCCTCGCTGCTCTTTGGAGGGCAGAACACTTGCATCCCCAGCGCCTGCTTTCCATGTCCTTTCTCAGCTATTACTGCACACCTACCGTGTTGCCCACAGAGCCTAATGGACCACTTTGTCCCAGAGGGGTCTGACGACATCACACTTCTTTGCCACAACCTTGAAATGACTGGGATAGGGAACGATTCTTAAATGCTGCAATTCTCCTTTATACTGGAGTTGGGGGAGGCTCTGACGAACCTTTCGGACAGCTTTGGGGATCAGGGTGTGGAAATTTCCACACCACTGCGTAGGTTGCGTTTCCGCGAGCAGCTCATTTGTTGAAAACATTGACTGAGTCCATTTCTGTGTACGTGGAGGATGACTGTTATACATCTGTTTTGACGTCTCTTGTCCTTTCATTGAATACACTTCACAGGGAGAGGAGAGGAGTTCCATTGTGAAATCGGCATCCAGGTGGTTAGGTGCAGATACGCCATTGCTGGAGAGAGCAGCTGGCAGGAGACCTTGCTTTATCATTCACGGAGGAGGACACAGGTCCAGAAGAGGGCCCATGATGTTGTCAGACCATCTGAGACCCTATCACCACTCACCTACATGGGTCTTTTATCCAAGTCTGCCATTCTGGAAATGAGAGAGGCAGGGCACAGAACTGTCTTCTGCAGCCACACACAGCACTCAGAGTTTGTGACCACAGAAGCATTAATAGATAGTCCTTTTCTTCTCGGTGGAAGGGGACAGAGTGATGGGCAGCGCCGCAACCAAAATGACAGCAGCAGGAGCAGCGTCACGAGTATCTAAACCTTTCCATCTTCTTCGTGACAGAAGATCAGGGAAAACAGCTCTGAAGCACTGGCAGAACGTTCATGAAGAAGACATGGCCATAGGACTGCAGAAACCAGAAAAGGGGTGTGAGCTAGCTGGGCACACCTTTAATCCCAGCACTCGGGAGGCAGAGGTAGGCGGGTCTCTGAGTTAGAGGCCAGCCTGGGTTACAGGGTAAGTTCTAGGATAGGCTCCAGGTCTACAGAGAAACCCCGTCTTGAAAAACCAAACCAAAAAATTATAAATAAATAAATAAAAATAAAAAATTGGAGCCTCATTGGGGAGATGGTGGAAACAGCTGAGTAGTTATGTATTTGACTGTTCAGAATATGTTACCTTTTCAAGAAATTCCTTGTCTAGGGGCTGGAGAGATGGCCCTGTGGTTAAGAGTGATGGCTATTCTTCCAGAGGACCCACGCCTGGTTTCAGTCCGCATGTTGAATAGCCACATGTAAGCTCACATACATACCACACGTAGCTCCAGTTCCAGGGTATCTGGCTCCCTCTTCTGTCCGCCCATAGGCACTACACTCAAGGGCACATGACAGATATATTAAAACATAGTATAAAATAACACATTAAAGATACACACATAACTAAAAACAAAATAAAAATATTCTTTAACATGGGAAAAGCAGACCATGAAGACTGCTTCAAAGCCATGAAACCTTCAGAAGGTTCTCTCCATGTGAGCTCAGTATGCTTGCAGAAGACAACACTGGTTCCCCAGAAACCAAGGCTGCCACCCTGCAACTGGAGACTGACCAGGGGGAAAGTCATTCACTGGACAGGGCACATAGGCAGACGTGTCTCAAAAGTGTTAATTCTCAAACGGACAAAAGGCCCGTTCTTTCCAGTTATGGTGTTATAAATATCAGTTTGCCTATTGGGGCTACTCTCTGAAGGATTGCAGAAGGGCCTGAGGGGACCAGAACCAGACAGAGGAGGAGGGAATGGACTCTTAGGCAGCAACTCCTGTGGGCCTCTGCTCTTTGAACTTTGCAGGCTGAGACCATTAGTGGCGGAGTTCAATCCATGAGTTCAGTACAAGCTTTACAAAGTCAGTTTCAGGTCTGGATGGCCCTAGGAACATTCGTCTCAAGATTAGCTCCCCATATTTAGTATGGGGTAGTGGTTTGCTTGCAAGTAGTAAAACAGAATTTTCATGTTAACGGATTCCAGCAAGCAGTGCCCTCTATGGTTTCTGCCTTCAAGTTCTGATTTGAGCACCTACCCTGACTTTTCTCGGTGATGAGCAAACTCCTTTCTCCTCTAAGTGACTTGTGGTCATGGTGTTTGTCATAGCAACAAAACCCTAACTAAAACAGCCTTCCTTACTGCTTTTGCCATCACCCAACCTGCCGCATATCTGTCTGATTGGTCTGATAAAGAACAGAACAGCCAATAGCAAGGCAGGAAAAAGGATAGGCGGGGCTGGCTGGCAGAGAGAATAAATAGGAAAAGAAATATGGGAAGAATGAAGGAGAAGGAGGAAGAACAAGAGAGGAGACTGCTAGGGGCCATTAGTCACACAGCCACCCAGGCACACAGTCAGCCATGGAGTAAGAGTGAAAGTAAGATATGCAGAAGTAAGAAAAGGAAAAAGCCCAGAGGCCAAAGGTAGATGGGCTAATTTTAGTTAAGAAAAACTGGCTGGAAACACGCCAAGCTAAGGCCTGGCATTCACAAGTAAGAGTAAGACTGTGTGTATTTTGGGAGCTGGGTGGCGGGCTCCACAAAGAGCAAAGAGTTAAAACAACAACCACAACCATAAATCTTGGAAATACACGTGCCATTAAAATTCTCATGAAACATTAAAGTAGGGTGCAAAGGGTGCAAAACATACAGCGTGAGTGACCTGGTTTTGGAACACTTGCCTGTGTGGCTCTTCTCCCAGGGCACCTGTCACACACACACTGCAGCTGTAACTTTTGCAGGGGAGGGTGTTACAGCAATACCAGCGTACATTTCTTTTTCCTTCTTCCAAAATGTGTGGAGGGCAGAGCTGTTCTTTCTGTGAGCCTTCGCCACGTCGTCAATACGACCTTTCCGCGTTAAATCCCGAGCTCTTCCTTTTCCACTTTGTCGCTTCTCTTCGGTACAACTCAATCTCCCACACCACTGCTCTTATAATCTGGGGCTATGGTTAAGCCAAAGAAGAGTACCTTGAATGTGAATCCTACAGTATCGATGAGTCAACCAGGATGGATACCGAAATGGCTAGCAGAAGGGTGGTGTCCACCCTGTGGATCCGCTGTACAGAGAGGTTGTGTCCTTAGCCAGATGGACTGAGATGACATGATTTCATCACAGTACTTAGGACAACACACAATTTAAAGTGTATACATTGTTTATTTTTCAAAATTTTCCACGTGAAAATTTGTGTATTTCTGTGTTGCTTTCTTTTTTTCTCATTTCCTTTCCCCCCTCTCTCTCCCTTCTATTTTGTGAGAGAAGACTTTGCTATGTAGTCAGACTGGCCTTGAACTCACAAGTTTCCTGCCTCAGCCTCCCCAGTGCTGGGAGTCATAGGACTTGCTCTTTTCTTGTCAAATTACTTGTATATATTTTAAAGGTAATAATAGAGAAAGTTTGGAGCAGGGTAAGCGGCACAGAATTGTCTAGCGGAAGCAGATAAAATAAAAGGAAAACTGGTAGAGTGAGCTCCATAGTTGTTCTGCATCCCCATCCCAGGACAATGCAGACGGATCAAGCAAATTTCCCATTTGGCAATGCTGCACAGGATGGAGCGGCTGCATAGTGAGGACTCCTTGATAGGCAACGTATACTGAGCTGATGGGTCTCAGTGCCCGCTGTCAGCAGATTGGATGTACCTGGGAGACAGGTAATGCTGCCCTGATGACCTGGCTACATTCAAATGTTCTACTGGGTGCTGTATTAATCAGGGTTCTACAGAGAAATGGAACCAATAGGCTATCTATCACCTATCTTCCATCCATCTATCTATCTATCTATCTATCTATCTATCTATCTATCTCTCTCTCTCTCTCTCTCTCTCTCTCTCCATCCATCCATCTACCTATTGTCTATCCATTTGCCTTCCTACTTATTTGAGGAAATTTATTAGAGTTATTGAGATGTGCTCATGACCAGCTGTAAGCTGAAGATCCTGGGTTCTCCAGCACGGTCTAGGAGTTCCAGAGCTGCAGACCTAGGAAAGCCAATGGTGGGGTTCTCAGTACAGACCAGAGGTTTGCAGACCAGAGGGTTGGTGAGGGAGAATCCTGGAGTCAAATCTAGTGTGCGCAGAATTCTGGCCTCAGAGCAAAAAGAGAAGGGTGTTCCAGAACAGGAGAGAGAGAGAGAGAGAGAGAGAGAGAGAGAGAGAGAGAGAGAGAGAGAGAGAGATTCTTTGGAAAGAAAACATCTCACAGACACAGAGCAAGAAGCAATGCTTAGTCAACTCTCTAGATCTTTTTTATTCATTTTTACTTCAAAAATAATTTATTTTTATGTATATGAGCATTTTGTCTGCGTGTCTGTCTGTGCAGCATGCAGTTCCCATAGTGACCAAGAGAAGGTTCAGTTACAGATGGTTGTGAGCTGTCATATGTGTGCTGGGACTCAGAAACCAGGTCCTCTGGAAGTGCTCTTAACCACTGAGCCATCTCTCCAGGCCCTCTAGTTCTCTTTAATTCAATCCTGTTGGCACCTGAGATTAACCATCCCAGGTGGCTGGAGCTTTTTTTAAAAAAAATTAAAACATTTTAATCTCTCTCTCTCTCTCTCTCTCTCTCTCTCTCTCTCTCTCTCTGTGTGTGTGTGTGTGTGTGTGTGTGTGTGTGTGTGTTGGTCGGCATGGGGGATATGTGCACACAAGTACAGGTGTTCTTGGAAGCCACATCTGTAGTCCTAATTGGGATCACCTGGAAGTAGAGTTACAGCCAGTTGTGAGCCGCCAGAGGTGGATGCTGAGCACTGAACTCTGGTCCTCTGCAAGAGCAGTACGTGCTCTTAAATGCCTAGCTACCTCCCCAGCCCCATGGCCTCTTTGCTTTTCGCTTGCAGCTCCCCAGTGAAGGCGATGTGTAGTTCAGGTTGAGAATCACAGCATTAACTCATTTTATAGTTCACAGTGCAGAATGCAGCACCGTCTTCGTTGTGTGGGTGAGGGTACAGGGACTGATGTCAAGCAGCTTGCCCAGGGTCACGCAGACAGACAGTTGAACTTGATGAGAACACAGGCACTCTGGCCTTACAGCTGAGCTGTTTATATACTCTACTTGCAACGCCAGATGCCTGGGCTTAATGCTATTTATTGTAGCATTTGATAGAAATATGAGCCAATAAAAGGGCATCTTATATTCAAAAGGTCTTTTTAGCAGACAAGGAACTGTTTAAAGATGATAAATTGTTATTTCTAGTTTCGCTACACTCCTTTTGCATTTATTCTACTAAAGGAAGAAGTTTGAGATTTCATCAATTTTATTTGTTCATTTTAGAAAAGAATCAGGTCTTCAATTTTTTTTTGTTTGTTTATTTGGAGGTAGGGTCTCATGTAGACCAGGCTAGCTTCAGACTTACTCTGTAGCCAGAGATGACCTTGAACTTCTGAGCCTCGCCTGCCTCCACTTCTGGAGTTCTGGGATAATAGATGTGCACTGCTGTGCCTGGTTTGTATGGGGCTGGAGAACAAGGATTTTATGCACAGTAGGCAAACATGAGTAATAACTCTAGTCCCAATTCTGTTGCTTTTCAAGGCAATTATTACCATTATCATTAACAATTATATACTAATTTGAAATGAAACCGCCCATGTTAGAAAGTTTGGGGAAGGAATTGGGATAAAAATATTTTCCTGTGATTTGAACCAATGAAGCAAGTCTAAGCTTGTCACCAAGGTGTAGTTTTTCTGTACTAATATTGGCTAATATTGGTTAATTATAACATACGTGGGAAGCCCTCTCTCTCTGTGCCTGCCTTGGGAATACCAGATTGCCTGAGACGTTCCAGTCGTACTAGGCGTTACTAGTAGGAAGCCTGGTGTATGCTGCGGTAGTTACCCTCCTAGGGATTCATGATCCAGGGAAGTACAGGATGGGAAGGGACAGGAACCACCCAAGAACAGTCTTC